CCACATGGCCCAGCTCCGGCCCGTGGGGGCCACGCCCAGGCGCTGCGAAGCCACGGGGCCGACAGGCAGCGCCGCGAACTCCGCAGAGAGCCCGGCTGCGCGATCCACATGGTCCAGCTCCAGCCCATGGGGGCCACGCCCAGGCACGGCGACGCCACGGGGCCGACACGCAGCGCCGCGAACTCCGCAGAGAGCCTGCAGCGGCCCCACAGCACGGCGACGCCCAGCGGCGGCAGCGCGAAGTAGCCCGACAGCTCGGGCTCGGTCGCCAGATGGCGGGAGTAGTTCGCCAAGCCCGCCTGCGCGGTCAAGACCTGGTCGAACGAATCGAACTTCAGGTCAACGAATTTGCTCCCAGGCGACACGCTGAGCTTCGGGCGCTTCGCGAAACGTGCGAAGACCGACCTGCAGCCGCTGACGACCCTCAGCTAGCCAGACTTCTCGCGGACGAAGAAAGGCGCGACGTGGCCCCGAGCGCCGGCGGTGCACCGAGGCATGTTGGCCCCATCGAGCCGCGCCACGAAGTCAGCACACAGGCCCCTGTCACGGGCCAAGGTCTTGCCCACGCAAGGTACCACTGGCTGTTCGCTCCCACAACGCTGGCGGAACTCATCCCCGGTCAGCGCCGCGCGCAGCTTGAACTCGCGCAGGCACTGAGCACCCTCCGGGTCGAGAACATCAAGGGTGGTGGGAGGCTGCCCCAACTCCTCCGGCACCGCGATCAGAGAGGTATCATGTCTGGCCACAGCACTTGAGCCCCCCCACTGCCGTAGACGAGGTCGGAACCGGGATACTCGCGGGCGGCTTCTCGCCGACGAGAAAAAGAAAGCACTTCGACGAGGCGGACGCGCCGCAAAACTGCGCGCTGAGCCTCAGCCTGGGCCGCGCTCCTGCACGCCAAGGGCGGCGCCAGCGAGGCCGTCGCATGCGCGCGGCCGAGGTCATTCAGCGGCGCGATACACCCATCCGCCCCGAGGCCATGGGCACGCCGACGCCGAAGCCGCTGGCGCACTCCATGCAAGAGATGCGAGGCGTCTGGCGTCGCCTCGGCAAAACTCGGGAGCGGGAACAGCTCCCTGGGCATTCGCCGCCCCCCCGCGCCCGCCGCGGGCGCGGGGCGGCTGGGGCGGTGAACCAGGGGGCCAGGCGGGCCCAAACGCCGCCTCCGATGGGCCCCATGCGCGCCATGAGGCCCCCGCGGCGCGGGCCGCCGCCGCGCCACCCCCGCCGCCCTTCGCCCTGCCCTTGGGCCCCGCGATCGTCTCCCCCCGCGCCTTGCTGGCCCCCTTGGCGATCGCGGACTCCTGCGCCACCGCCGCTCGACCCCTCCCGCTCGTAGACGCAACCCTCGCCCGCAGGCGCCACTGACAACCTGACCCAGCGCTCGCGAGCGCGGCGCACAGCCGCCGTCACCCCGCACATGCTTCAGGCACCAGATGACGGGCCGCGGCCACTGCAGATGCAGCCGCCCAGAAGGGGGTCCTCCGACGCGCTGGCCACGGCATCCCCCCACGTCCTCCAGCTTCACGACTGAGGAGCGCACGTTGCCTCGGGCGAACACCGCCGCGCCCGCCCGCGAGAGCTGCTCGACGCACAAGGGAGTCGCTTCTGGCACGCACGACCGCCCGACGCGACATCCACATCGATCCCGCCGGGAGCTGGCGGCCGACGAGGTTGCCCACTGCGCAGCCAGCACGATCCTCCAGACTAGCCCATCTCACGCCAGCGGGCGGCGCCAGCACGCCTCCTGCCGCGGGCGCCGCAGCTCCGGCAGCCCCGACGAAGGCGGGCGGAATGCCGAGCGCGCGGCCCGCCGCCGCCCCATTCGCCGCCGACGCGGGAGCCCCGCCAGGCGCGACCAGGGCGTTGCCTGCACCAGGAGCCACCAGCGGCCCGCCGCACGCAGCGGGAGGCCCAGCGCCAGCCCCAGGGCCTGCTACCTGCCGCGCCTGCCGCCGCGCTAGCCCCGTCCGCGTCGGCGCGCCTGGTCGAAGTGGAGCGCGATCGGCAGAGGCGCGCGCCCGATGCCCAGCACGCGGGCGCCAGGATGCCCCGCGATCCAGCCCAGCGGCGGGCTTAGCAGGGGGGCTCGCCGCCAAGGAACGCCGCCAGAACTGGGTTCTGCACCGCCCTCCCTCACGTTCAGGCCCTGGTCGAAACTCTCGAGTTCGTCCTGTAGCGCCAACATCGCCGACCCGACTCGATCGAGTTCGGGAGGGGCGTCCGCAGCGCATGGCTGACGAAGTGAAGACTCCGAGCGAAGCCAGATAGCACATTGGGCCGCCAGACGAGTCGTCGAGTCAGTGCCGTCCACCGCCCTGATTAGTCCGATGATCCTGGACTGGGTTCGTTTTCCCCACGGGTCACAAGCTCGGGCGACGGGGGCCAACGGTACACTCGACGCAGCTCTGCAGACCGAGCAGCAAACTATCGCAGAAAGAACTGGTGATGCACGACGAATCCCCATTTCATCGCAATCCGACCGTAGCGCACTTCCTCCGCCTCCGGCACGAGACCCCCGCCAGGGGACAGATCCTTGGGCGAGGCTGCGGCGAGAGGTATTGAAGGGAAGGGGCCACCCGAAGCCCGGCAGCCCCAGCTGGGGCTGGGAATAGCTATGACGACTCTACATCGCCAGAAAAGCTTGAGCCATCGCGCCCATGGAACGGGCCGATGCTTCACAGACGGCGGGCTTCCAACCCGCAGACAACATTCCCGAGCAAGCACATCCATGATGAGTGTGTTGGTGGTGATTGTGTTGATGATAGTGGTAATGATAATGATAATGATGATGATGATGATGATGATGATGATGACGATGATGATGATGATGATGATGATGATGATGATGATGATGATGCTGATGCTGATGCTGATGCCGATGCTGATGACGATGGTGGTGGTGGATATGTTTGTAATGAAGATGGCGATGTTGAAAATGGTAATCATGGTGATGATGATGGTGATGTTGATGAGTAGAATGCTGATGATGATGATGGTGCTGAAGATGATGATGATGATGATGATGATGATGATGATGATGATGTTGGTGATGGTGATGGTGATGGTGTTGGTGATGGTGATGGTGATGATGGTGAGGATGATGGTGATGGTAACGTGCATGAAGATGGCGACGGTAATGGTGAAGATGATGATGATGATGATGATGATGATGATGATGACGGTGGTAGTGATGATGATGGTGATGATGCTAAGGGTGATGCTGGTGATGATGATGGTGATGGTGATGATGATGACGATGCTGATGCTGTTGCCGATGAGGCTGATGATGGTGATAACAAATTGTATGACACTGCGTGTGAAACTGATGTTGCTGATGCTTGCGATGGTCTGCGGATGACGCTGATGATGCTGGCAAGGCTAACGACGATGATGATGACGATGATGATGACGATAGCGATGGGGCTGCTGCTGATGTTGATGATGAAAAGGATGATGATGATGCTGATGATGATGGTGATGATGATGATTGTGATGATCATGATGATCATGATGGTCATGACGATCATGTCGGTAATAACGCTGGTGATAGTGCTGATGATGCTGGTGATGTCCATGCTGACGCTGGTGTTGATGCTGTTGATGATGATGCTTATGGTAATGCTGATGCTGATAACAATGCTGCTGCTGATAATGAAAATGTTGATGATGATGTTGGTGATGATGATGATGCTAGTGATGTTGATGAGGATGATGGTGGTAATGGTTGTGATGAGGGTGACGATGTTGATAATGGTGATGGTAGTGGTGGTGATGATGGTGACGCTGATGAGTATAATGCTGATGATGGTAATGATGGTACTGAAGATGATGATGATGATGATGATGATGATGATGATGATGATGATGATGATGATGATGATGATGATACTGCTGCTGATGATAATGATCGTGGTGCTGATGGTGATGATGGTGAGAATGATGGTGATGTTAACGTTCATGATGATGGCAAGGATGATGGTGAAGATGATGATGCTGATGATGATGGTGACAGTGGTGGTGATGATGATAATGGTGATGGTGATGAGGGTGATGATGGTGATGGTGATGATGACGATGATGCTGATGCTGATCCCGATCAGGCTGATGATGATGGTGATGCAAAAATTAATACTTCGGATGATACTGATGCTGCTGATGCTGGTGATAGTCTGCAGATGACGCTGATGATGCTGGTAAGGCAAACGACAGTGACGATGACGATAGCGATGATGTTGCTGATGATGATGATGATGATAAAGATGATAAAGATGGTAATGATGATGATGATGATGCTGATGATGATGACGACTTGTGATGAACATGATGATCACGATGGTCATGACGATCGTGTTGGTAATGATGCTGGCGGTGATGCTGATGATGATGATGCTGATGCTGATACTGATGCTGTTGATAAGTTGATAATGCTCATGAGAATGACGATGATGATAATGAAAATGATGATAGTGATGATGATGGCGAAGACGACGACGGCGACGGCGAGGGAGGAGGGGGAGGAGGGAGTTGACGCGGGGCGCGGCCAATTCAAAACAAGGACCCAGCACCACAGGATAGTTGGGAAAAACTGCGCTGCGATCTGTTGGGGGGCTTCCCAAACCTGGCTCAGCCAATGAGTAAGGCCACCTCCATGGCCGTGAGAGGCTTCCAAGCCCGGCTCAATCAAAATCGGGCTCCGCAAAGTCCTGCAGTATCTGGCACCTGGCCGAGCTCTGTTTGCGCTACATCCCGATGCCTGCTAGCTGACTGCTGATACTGCTCAAGGGGCCCAGGGACACACACACACACACACACACACATATATATATATATATATATATATACACAAATCCAAGGATTCCCCATATGTTTCAATATTTTCTGCGTTTTTGTCTTCCCCCCCCCCCCATCCCATACTTTCCAATATTTTCAGGGGAATCGACGATTAATTGTGTCTGTGTGTTGTTTGCCCTCCTGAACTGCCCCTTCCCCCAGGGCACTTCTGCTCGATCTTCTCCTCGATCTCCTTCCATCTCTGCTCTTCCTTGGCGTGGGCCTCGTCAGCACACGGGCCGAGCGCTCGGAGGGGCACGGGCAGAGGCGGCGGCGGGAGGCGCGCGGGCTCGAAGCAGCCTGCGCTGGGGACTCGCGGCTCCGAGGAATGTGCAATTATGGGCCTGTTTTCCACCACCACCACCGTAAGTTGGAGGGGGGAGGAGGTGAAGCATGAGGAGGAGAAAGAAGGGAGGAGGAGGAGAAGGAAGAGGAGGAGGAGGAGGAGGAGGAGGAGGAGGACCCCCTCCCCCTCCTACTTACTTATGGTGGTGGTGGTGGTGGAAAACAAGCACACCAGGCAAAGCCAAGAGTCGCAGAGGAGACGAGGGGCCAGCCAGACCCTTGCCGTGCGCCTCGGCCGGGCCGACACGGAGGGCCCGCAGGGAATGGCTGCAGCTTCCAGAGAATACAGAACATCAACGCCTGGCCGCCTGGCGAAAGACCCAACCATCTGAAGTTGTGAGTAACGCAGCTGTGAGTATCGTCTTCGGTGGAGCTTCCTACTGGGCCACGAAACCTGCAAGTAATGCACCGAAACGGGCGCGGTGGGCGCATCCGAACGCGTGTGAAGGGTGTGCCGAAATGGGTCCGGTGGCGCCATGCTAACGCAGCCACTGGGGCATTAGGTGGAGCTCCCTACGGGACCACAAAACGCGTGTGAAGGGTGCGTGCCGAAATGGGTGCGGTGGTGCCGTGCGAGCGCAGCCACTGAGGCCCTCGGTGGAGCTCCCCATGGGGCCACGTCACGAGTGAAGGGTGTGCCGAAAACGGTGCGGTGGTGCCATGCGGGCGCTGTCTCTGGGGCCCTCGGTGGAGCTCCCTGATGGGGCCACAAAACGTGTGAGAGGTGTGCCAGCATGGGCGCAGTGGTGCCATGCGAGCGCAGCTACTGGGGCCATCGGTGGAGCTCCCGATGGGGCCACGAAACGTGTAAGAGGTGTGCCGAAATGAGCGTGGTGGTGTCATGCGAGCGCAGCCACTGGGGCCCTCGGTGGAGCTCCCTATGGGGCCACGAAACGTGTGGGGGGTGTGCCGAAGTGGGCGCGGTGGTGCCATTCGAGCGCAGCCACTGGTGCCCTCGGTGGGAACGCGGTGGTATCACGCAAGCGCAGCCACTGAGGCCTTCGGTGGAGCTCCCTTTGGCGCCAAGAAACGTCTGAGGGGTGTGCCGAAGTGGGCGCGGTGGTGCCATGCGAGCGCGGCCACTGGAGCCCTCGGTGGAGCTTCCTATGGGGCCACGGAACGTGCGAGGGGTGTGCCGAAACGGGTGCAGTGGGGCCATGCGGGCGCTGCCTCTGGGGCCTTACGTGGAGCCCACTATGGGGCCACGAAACGTTTGAGGGGTGTGCCAACATGGGCGCGGTGGCGCCATGCGAGCGCTGCCACTGGGGCCCTCGGTGGAGCTCTCTTTGGGGCCACGAAAAGTGTGAGGGGTGTGTGCCGAAACCAGTGCGGTGGTGCCATGCGAGCGCAGCCACGGGGGCCCTCGGTGGAGCTCCCTACGGGGCCGCGAAGCGTGTGAGGAGAGTGCCGAGATGGTTGACTGGTGCGGGTGGCAGGGGCAGGGATGGGAGGATGGGGAGGAGGGGGCAGCGGGAGGAGGAGTGACGTGGCGTGGGTCGCTGTCTGTTCAAAGTTGGGAGCAACTCAATGATCCAAAGACCCAACCATATGCAAGGATCAAGACCGCGGTGGTGCGCATCCTCTGCGGAGGAGCTCCCTGCGGGGCAAGACACGTGTGAAGGGTGCGCCGACATGGGCGCGGTGGTGCCATGTGGGCGCTGCCTCTGGGGCCGTAGGTGGAACTAGCTCCTTATGGGGCCACGAACCGTGTGAAGGGTGTGCCGAAAACGGTGCGGTGGTGCCATGCGGGCGCTGTCTCTGGGGCCTACGGTGGAGCTCCCTATGCGGCCCGAAACACGTGAGGGGTGTGAAACTGGTGCGGTGGTCCCATGCGGGCGCTGCCTCTGGGGCCTTAGGTGGAGCCCCCTAATGAGGCCACGAAACGCGTGAGGGGGGTGCGGTAGGGCCATGCGGGCGCTGCCTCTGGGGCTTTAGGTGGAGCTCCCTGTGGGGCCACGAAACGTGAGAAGGTTGTGCCAAAAAAGGTGCGGTGGTGCCATGCGGGCGCTGACTTTGGGGCGTTAGGTGGAGCTCCCTATGGGGCCCGACACGCGTGAAGGGTGTGAAACTGTTGCGGTGGTGCCATGCGGGCGCTGCCTCTGAGGCCTTAGGTGGAGATCCCTGTGGGGCCACGAAACGTGTGAAGGGTGTGTGCCGAAAAAGGCGCGGTGGTGGCATGCGGGCGCTGCCTTTGGGGCGTTAGGTGGAGCTCCCTATGGGGCCCGAAACGCGTGAGGGGTGTGAAACTGGTGCGGTGGTTCCATGCGGGCGCTGCCTCTGGTGCCTTAGGTGGAGCTCCCTATGGGCCACGAAACGCGTGAAGGGTGTGCCGAAACGGATGCGGTGGTGCCATGCGGGCGCTGCCCCTGGGGCCTTCGGTGGAGCTCCCGATGAGGCCACGAAACGTGTGAGAGGTGTGCCGAAATAGTTCCTGTGGCGCCATGCAGGCGCTGCCTCTGGAGCCTCAGGTGGAGCTCCCTAGAGGGCACGAAACGTGTGAAAGGTGTGCGAAACGGGTGCGGTGGTGGTGCCATGCGGGCGCTGCCCCTGGAGCCTTCGGTGGATGAGGCCACGAAACGTGTGAGAGGTGTGCCGACATGGGTGCAGTGGTGCCATGCGGGCGCTGCCTCTGGGGTCCTCGGTGGAGCCCCCCATGGGGGGCCACGAAACCCGTGAGACATGTGCCGAAACGGGCGCGGTGGTGCCATGCGGGCGCTGCCTCTGGGGCCTCAGGTGGAGCTAGCTCCCAATGGGGCCACGAAACGTGTGAGGGTTGTGCCGACATGGGCGCAGTGGCGCCTTGCGGGCGCTGCCACTGGGACCTTAGGTGGAGCTCCTTATGGCCACGAAACGTGTGAGAGGTGTGCCGACATGTGCGCAGTGGTGCCATGCGGGCGCTGCCTCTTGGGCCCTCGGTGGAGCTCCCTTTGGGGGGCCACGAAGCGCGGGAGGGGTGTGCGGAAACGGGTGCAGTGGCGCCATGCGGGCGCTGCCTCTGGGACCTTCGGTGGAGCTCCATATGGGGGGCCACGCCGAAACGGGTGCGGTGGTGCCATGCGGGCGCTGCCACTGGGTTCTTAGGTGCAGCTCCCTATGGAGCCACAAAACGCGTGAGGGGGGTGCCGAAATGGGAATGGGGCCATCCAGACACGGGCCAGTCGGGCTTTGCAAGAGCCTGCAAGAGTCTGCAGGATCCTGCCATGATCATGCACGCTGACCCTGGTCAATTCCCTCCTGCCCCTTGAACGGGCACTGGGACACACAAATAAATAGACACAAATAACCGGATTCCCCATATTTTCCCATATGTTCTGGGTTTTTGTCTTCCACCCCACTGCCCATATTTCCCCATATTTTCTGGCGAATCGACGATTAATTGTTTCCGTGTTTTTTCCCCTCCTGAGCCGCGCAGGGTCCTGCCAGATCATGCGTTCTGACTGACCCCCCCGCTTGCACTGATCCCCGTCTCTTTGAGCTCCGAGATCTGGAATCTTGGAGGCGGCCGGGGAGTCAGCACCAAATGGGCCCTGAGAAAATCTGTCAAGAAGAAAAAAAAAAAAACTAAAGAAAAAACTCAATCATTGGATGGTTTTCGCTGAGGAGATCCACCTGGAACCCAGGAGCCTGGGAACCCAAAACCCACCAGAATCGGCCCGGAACCAATAACCAGGAACCCGGGAACCCGGAACCGGGAACCCAGGAACCCAGCCTGCTGCCAAAATCGGCGGGAAACTTTCGCCAAATCTTTCAATTTCCGCTAGGACCCTTCAGTGCAAGCACTGATTGGGGACTTCTGTCAAGAAAGAAAAATAAAGCAAGTCCGCTCAAAAATAGCCCCTGGACCCCTCCCGGGGTCCATCTAGTGCAGTTTTCCACCCCAGATCCGTGTTTGACAGTCCTAGGACCCGACAAGGGCCCCAAGAAGCCGAAAGCGGCCAACAACCTTCTCGAGCCCAGAACCTCCAACCTCTTCCCCATTTTTACGTGGCGACATCCGAACCCTACCACCACCAACCATCGATTCTCCTGAATCGATGGGAGACGGGGGTAGGATTCGATTTCGCCCACGTGTTCAACGAATTCCGAACCTTACCCCAGTACCCCCGCCGCCCATCGAGTCGCCTAGATCGTTGATCGGCGAGGCTAGGAAGCAGTGCTGGGCCACCTGACCCCAGCTGGCTCCAACGGATAGCGGTATCGGTCTCGTTCTTCCCCTGACCGCGAGGACACGATAGCCCGCGCACGACCTCACGCGAGCAGCCGTCGCGCCAGTGCTCACGCAGCTGCCCAAGACTCGGCGGCGAGCCCGGGGGGGAACTGAGAAGAGGCGCGCCTTATCAGAGGCTCGGAAGCCCCCCGGGACCTTTTGAGAAGGCTTCTCCTTCTCTTGAGGAAGAAAAAAAAAAAAAAAAAAAAAAAAAACATCAACATAAACTCTTGGCCCTCCGCGCGGATTTCTTGGATCTGCGCTGGACCCCCCTCCCTGGCTCGCGGAGCGCGCCAGGGGCGGCGCTGGAGGCGCCACCAGGGAGGCCCAGCGCGGATCCAAGGGATCAGCGTGGGGCACCACAGTTCATGCTTATGGCGCTTTTTCTTTTTGGAGTTGCGTAACCCTGAGATCCTGGCGGCCCAATGTTTTCGAGTCGGGCGTGTTCGCCTCTGCTCGGGCCCTGGGGCCCTCGCAGCTCGATGCGGCTCGAAAATGGCGCACACGGATGGTGTCTATAGGGCTCCAGGCGTGACTTCTACGATGTTGTAAGTTTTGTCGCTACGTCGGATCTCAGGGAATGGCGGGGCAACACAATGAGGGGGGTCGAAGAAACGTGCACCTTTCGTGCCCCTTTTGAGGACTCCTACAAAACGCACGAGGGGCGCACC